CAGCAACAAGGGGTTGTTCTTTCAGCTTGATTAGTGAAAAGTAATGTTTTGGAAAAAGAAAAGGGGGAAACCTACACCCCACCCCACGCCGATCCTACGTAACTATTGTATACAATATGCTGTACCCTAATCGATAATCATCGAAATATTTATATATGCCAAAAACCTGTATCGTTGATCTTTTGTGTTATATTTTAATATTCAGGATGAACTAGACATGGTCGCACAAATCTGGAGTAGTCACAAAATTCGGAAAACGAAAAACCAAAGAACGCCAAATGGGAGACCTTTTGTGTTGTACAATTTTCCTGAACTTTGTGTCACAGAAGATTTCTTGTGGGACGTTGAGGAAATAAAAATAGATTTGTGTAAAGAGCATTGCATTAAAAATTCCGAAGTGCCTTGTGATCAAGATTTGTTTGAATTGTGTCATCTTGAAATGGAAAATCATGAGTGGCACAAGCCAATTAACCCACAAGAAGCAATTGACTTGTACATATCATTATCTCCTGTCATTCGAAACTTATTGATTTAAAAAATCAAATGCACTGACATGAAAATTGATTCAACTTATTATTTGTTTAAAGTTTCATTTTCAAATATGAATACCTAAGAATCAGTGTAATTTTAGAGTAGATGGTATGAATTTGTGATTATTATCTATGCATTGGCAAATTTTTCAATTTCAGATTTCTTTGAAAATAAAATAATGATAATTATCATGCCATTTTATTGAGGTCCAAAGAAAAGAATTCAAAGGTGTGAAATTTCTGATGCAATAAGCACATGGCTGAAATAATAGTAAAAAATAAATGTGTTTGTGAAACACTATGCGCCTGGCGGCAACAAAGTTTAAAAAAAAAACATGTTTTTAGCATATAGGTCACAGTCTAGGTCACAAGGTCAATGATCTTGATATCATTTGAAAGAACTTGATTAGTGAAGTGTGCATACTAAATATGAAAATATGAATTCTTTATCTCTCATGATTCAGAAGTTATGGTGAAGGTTCAAAAAGGTTATTTTAGTATATAGGACACATTCAGAGTCACAAGGTCTTTGACCTTTGTGTCATGTGAAAAGGCTTAATAAGTGGAGTATACATGCTGAATATCAAGTCTCTATCTTTCTTCCTTCAAAAGTTATGGCGAAGGCTAACGTTTCCGACAAAAAAGTTATATTTAGTGTATAGGTCACATTTAAGGTCAAAAGGTCCTTGACAAGGTGTCATTTAAAAGAACTTAATGCGCAGAGTAAGCATACCAAATATGAAGTTTCTATCTTTTATGGTTCGAATGATATGGCGAAGGTTAATGTTGTAGTTGTAATTGTATTAAAAATAAACTATTTTAGCATATAGGTCACAGTCAAGGTCACCAGGTCATTACCTTGATGTCATTAGAAAGAACTTAATTAGTGAAGTGTGCATACCAAATATGAAGTCTCAACCATTCATGGTTCAAAAGTTATGGCGAAGGCTAAAGTTTGCAGACAAACAGACAGGGCAAAAACAATATACGCCTAACATGATAAGAGTTAATCTGCACAGTGGGTCTTGAGAAATAATTTTTAGCAACCTTTATCCCCCCCCCCCCCCCATTTACCAGTATTACCCATATTTGTTAAAAGGCCACATTCCTGTTTTTGATAAAAATGATAACCATTGATATCATTTAACAAATTTGATGAATTCTGATGGGTCCATTCTTAAAATATATGGCCCAACACCATACAAACAAGAATAACTCAAATGGACAGATCTATGCTTCATCAACATTGACACACTTATTAAAAGTGAAAGACCTGGAACTTAAATTTATAAAACATCATCATTAAAACTACCGGTATATGTTTACATTCAAACATTTACACCACAAGTATCAAATTTGACTTTATTTTTTTCTAGATATGTCTTCCTCTGTCAAATGTTTTAAACGAAAAGTGAACTATAAAAATTGTCACTGTTTATTAGAAACACTCAAATAAAAAGCAAACTAGTGAATCATCTTTTAATCACTTTCATAATCAGAAGTCTCTGGTGAGACTGTAGCTCTACTGGTCTAGGTATAATAAAGGAAAAGGCAGCAATAAATAGAATTAATTTATGTACCTTAGTGTAGTCTACTCGTATGCCAAATTTTATAGATATCAAACCAAAACTGTAGGAGAAGTATAGTTTTGAAACTATTTTTATGAAATTTCTATTTAAGTAATCATGGTGACACCATTCATTGAATCTGACCAGTAGAGCCAAAAATGTGCACAGAAAAAAATGCCCACTGATCACATTTCCCAACATGGCTTGGGTTAAAACTGACATTTTTTTTCTTCAAATTAGACAAACATCAAAATGAAAGCCTTTGGGTTATAGTCAAGTATGACCCCTGAGACCTTTCTTGGGTGTGCAATGAAACAAAGAAAACAAGAAATATGGGTATACCATTTCAGACATGGATTTAAAAAGTGTATCCGACAAATATGTTGAAAAATGGTAACCCCTTATATATAGCAATGAATTTATCCAGACATAAAAAATGTAAAGATCTAATCATGCATGTTTAAGAAGCTCAAAACATGTACTGCTCTCTAGTTTAAAGCAGTAATAGAGTAATCTACCCTTTTGTATAAGAGGAACAATGAAAAAAATATTCAGGGAATCACAAGTCAGGGAATCACAAGTTCAAATAGTGCAAAAGAAGTTAACTCAAACATACTTCTAAACAAAAGAAATTAAAATAAAAATGTACATATTTTCAAAACTGGTTTCATGTTATCAGTATGTTTAACTTTTGTAGATGATTGCATGACATTTTAAGTACTTGAATATAATGATTTGAGCCCTTGTCTCTATAAACAGTTTCATGAAACAACATTCAACTCCTTGTTCTATAAATTCACAATCATAATGCACACAAATTATTTTAGTAGAAGAAACACAGAACTGCTACAATCCAGAGGCCTATGGGCCACATTATTAACAATAGACAATTTTGATCTGAACAACTCAGGCAATATTCATTACAAAACAAGAATCATCTGCTAATATGCTGTCCAATTCATTCCTAAGCTCTGGATAGCTTAAATAGGTACTGGGTAGCTCTAAGACAGGTCCACACGTCTGGGCAATTGTTCTTCGACCAAGCCCGTCTAGTTGGGTGAAGGTCACCTCTATCTTTTCCACGGTAATGGCCTCTGAGCCAGTTAAAAATCTTAGGAGTTTTTTCAAGGACGCACTATTTTGGCCTCTTATGTATTGTTGCAGAAATCGTAATGATGTCGCTTCGTTGTTTTCTTTTGGAGAGGCCTTGATCATTTTCAACACTTTTTTTTGCTGTGGGCTCCATCACTTGGTAAGTACTTATTATTCTCTCAACCGAGAGAAAGCGCGAGAGTAAAACATCTCTGCACCCAAAAGCCATGTTGTCTGTGGCATATTTAGGTTTTTGGATGAGCTCTTTGTGTGCTATTTTGCTTAACAGGCTTGGTAAGTTTTCTTTTGTTGGTCTTTGCTTGCATGAAAACCTGTCTAGCAAGTCGAGCAGGTCATCAAGCATTTCATCATCAAAAATCTCTTTATTCAAAGCCAAGGATAGAGTCTCTCTTTCTGTTTTGCTTAAGAAGTTGAGGAAAGCATCATTTAGAATTTTGTCAGTCACTGATGCTTCACCAAATGAAACTACTATAGTAGTTACTGGTGACATCTGTATGGGAAAAACATTTTGATCAACAAAACCCTTGGCAAATATTCTCCCAATAGCCTGTCATTCATCCTCTTGCCATTTTGAGTTCAGGGCAGGTACTCTGGATTCTTCCCCTTCAGCTGAACGCCTGAAAAATTCAATCCAGAATGCAGAATAAGCATCTCTTGACACTCCATTCATATCTGAACCACGCTCACTAACAAATTCAAATGTGATATCCTTGTTCATTATCTCTGGATCTTTAAAAAACACAAGCATTTCATCCAACAAGGTCACTCTATGGATTCTAAGAACTTTGTCCGTTTTGAGTGAAAATTCTTGAGGCACTGTAATTGCTGCAGGTACTATGTTTTCAAGATGCTGGCTGGAACTAGATCTTATAGATAATGGAGGATTCATGGAAACAAGTTCTTCAGAATGGACTGTGCTGATGCAGGATGCAGGATTTGTGTTGATACATGTTGCTGGAACTGTACTGAAGCATGTAGAATCTTCAACATAATCAGTAATAATGTTTGTTTCCTGGAAGCACAATGGTACATCAGCAGCCAACATTGCCTCAGAAAGTATATCAAAGCTTGCAACTTCACTTGGGTCTGGCAAGTTTTCATCATCATCTGAAATGCTGCTGTTTGTTGTTTTCGGTCTTTTGATGGGTCTTTGTATAATTGGCAAATCTTCATATTTACATGTAGGAATGAGAAGAAGATAAAATGTTAGTTTGCTTAAACCTGTCTGCTCATACAGCTTTCCAACACTTATTTCATCATCAAGAATATCTTCCTCAAAATTCTGCATGTCAAATGAGAAGTCATCAACACATCCTAGTTTACTTGTACCAGATTTACCAAAGTACAATTCTTTGGCCTGCTCAATAAGTTCCTTCTTCTTGAATGATTTTTTAACCGTAACTTCTCTTGGACCTCCTCCTCTTTTTACTCTTATAGTTACAAAAGTATCGTCCAATTTTGATTTAATTCCAAGTTTAATTTTACGTGTGTCCTTTGTAGCATTTTGATTGCCTTTATAAGGATTGATTGTACATGTACTTTCACTTCCTTCCTCTTCATCAGAATCACTTTCTGATATCTGGTTTTTGGCATTTGATTTCTTTGTTCTCCTTATGTCCTTCAACTTCTGCCTCAATGAAGCTACTAATGTAACTTTTGATTTTTTCTTCTTTTTTTTTGTCATCTTCCTTTATTATATAAGAACGAAGAGCCACTCTGTCACCATAATGTGGTATAAAGCTGGACAATTCTTTATCATCTATAACTCGTAATGCAGCTAGGTCCATCTGAAAAGTAATTTTAATATGTATAAATGTTCACCAAGGTAATAATATTACATTTGATACTAATTTTACAACCTTTAACTGTATGGACCTCAAAAAGTTGTTAACCAAGAAGATGTACCCAATATTATTACATACCCCGAGTACATTAATTTTGCCTTTGATTGCTCAAGACCAACAAAATAATTGGTTTAAAATCTATCTATCCCCCATTTATCACTTTTACGATGAAACTATTTATAACTAAATATCTATTTTTAAAACCTATATTATTACCTCTCACATTGGCCTCTCTTGGCCTTTGAAGATTATTCAACATTTTGAAAGATATTAAGTTATTTTTGTGTCATTGTGCCGTCAAGTGATCATCACTTTTCGTTGTTGTAATAAACTTTTCATATTTTCATCTTCTTCTCAAGAACCACTGGGCCAATTTCAACCAAACTTGCCACAAAGTATCCTTAGGTGAAGGGAATTCAAGTTTGTTCACAAGAAGGGCCACACCCTCTTGCAAGGGGAGATAATTATGAATTAGTGAAAAATTAATTGCATTTAAAAAAAAAATCTTCTCACGAATAGCAAAGCCATGATTAGTGATACAAATATTTATATGGAAGTATTTTTGGTTGGTGTTGAATTAAATTTGTTCAAATCATAACCCCAAGGGTAGGATAGGGCCACAATGGTGGATCAAAGTTTGACATTAAAAAAATAAAGGGAAAAATTTGGGGCTGGGACGATATATCGAGATATCGATATACCATGATATATGTGAGGACGATACACATATCGATACATTTGAAAAAATATCGAAATATCGCCGAAAAATTCTGCATTCTGTTTTTCTTTGTTTATTTAACATTTGGGGTTTAATATAGAAAATAAATAAGTTAAATATAAATATAGATATGAAATAAATAATAATTAAAACCAATTGAGTAAAATATTTTTGTTTTACAACATATAAACAACTATTTTGAATAAATTATTCTCATTTGCAAAGAAATAATTTAATTGTTTATTTCAATGCAAAAAATTTTTTATAAGCAATTAAACATATCGTGATACATATCTTATTGCGGCTCAAATATAGTGATACGTATCGATATAGAAAAAGTTGTATCGTACCAGCCCTAGAAAAATCCTAAGAACAGAAAAGCTATGTTTAGTCATATTGACATGTAAGCATCCTCATGTATTGCAAATTTAAATTTATTCAAATCATGGCCCTTTGCAGTAGAGAGGGAAACAATGGGGAGTCATATTCAAATTATTATGAAGTTATATATTTGAAGAAAATGTTTTTAGGAAATCTTTTTATCAAGAACAGCAAAGTCATATACTGTATTAATTTGAAGGCATTCTCAAGTATAAGTATTAGATTTCAAGCCCCCCTCCCACATTTAACTTTTCAGTTCTGATCTGATTTTTGCTTTCCTAGCCGATTTACTCAGGTGAGCAATGTGGCCCCTAGGCCTCTTGTTATTATATACATCCAGGGACCTATGAATTCTTCGCTATAAAGTTATATCCAGGGAATACGTTAAATTTATATAGCTGGGGATCGAAAATAACTTCGCTATAACCGTAAATTCGCTATATCCGTGTTCGTACTAAACGAGTTTTGCTGTACATCCTGCTTGAAAAGCGGGAGGGTATATAGTAATCCGGATGTCCGTCCATCCCTGTGTATAGCTGTCCGTCCATCTGTCTGTCTGTTATGCTTTACCCTAATTGTCGTAACTACCCAATTGGTGGTAGATTTTCAAAGAATTCACACATTTTTACTATATCATCAACAGAGCCCCCCCCCCCCTTTCAGAAAAACACCAGAACCCATGTGTCCACAAGTTTTAAAAATTTTGAAAAAGCACCCTTGCTCATCAAAACTATACACTTGTTTTACCCAGAAGCAGAAAAAATTTAAAGAAATAATGCATTTTCACTATATAATTAATAGAGCTAACCCCCCCCCCTACTTCATCAAAACCCCTGACCCTGGGGCCATGTCTTTCACAATTTTGGAAGAAAACTCAATACTTATTACAATCATGCCAACAGTTTGAGTATCCAGGAGTAAAGAAGATTTTATGAGATTGAATTAACTTTATCGGTTTGGTCCCACCCCTCAGGCCCCAGGGGGGTAGGAGTGAGACCATGGAATTCAAAATTTTTTGATCCCCTTTACCCATAGATGCTTTATGCCAACTTTGGCTGAAATTGGTTGAGTTAAAACAGAGAAGTTGAAAATGTTCAAATGTTATCACACAAGGCATGATGATGGACCAAAACGGATAGCAATAGGTCACCTGAGTTTACTAAAAATCTGTGGCAAATACTACTGATGGACAGAAAATTTATGTTTTTTTAATGTACTTTCACATAAATTTTTAAAGGAGGTTAATAGTTTAATCACTGAATATATATTAGATTCATTTCTTTATATATAGTTAGTAATTAGTTCATACAGGCATTTACCTTTTCCTTTTTCATAAGCTCTGTATTCACATTGCGGCTTTCCAAGAACGTGTACAAAGCATCATCTGAATCTGCAGCCATTGTTTGTAATCACTATAAAAATAAAAAAAAAAGAGGTAGTTATTTTTTTGTTAGGTCTTAGAAGCTTATCAAACCTGGGTAAAATTATTGTTACATCTGGTGTTGAGTGACAACGGTATTTTTATGCAGCCGGGTTGATATAAATGTCTGCAAACTTTAACCTTTGCCATGAAAGATAGGGACTTCATATTTTGTATGCTTACTCCACTGATTATCATTAAGCTCTTTCAAATAACACCAAGTTCAATAGCCTTGTGACCTTAAATGTATCCTTTTTGAACCTTCGCCATAACTTTTGAACCAAAAGAGATATAAAGACTTCATATTTAGTATGCATACTACACTAATTAAGTTCTTTCAAATGACACAAAGGTCAATGACTTTGTGACCTATATGCTAAAAATAGTTTTTTCGAACTTCGTTGCTGCTGGGCGCATAGTGTTTTACAAACACATCTTGTACTTTTTGAATTTGAGATACATGTATTTGTACTTTTATGTTTTTAACTTTAAGGGAAAAACCACCCAGTGCTGTATATTTCATCTTTCAGTTACTAGAACATTTATTTAAGCATTTATTTTATTGAGTTGTAGATGAAAACAGACCTGAAAGAATCAAAAACCTTTTGTGGAAATATTACCAAACTATAATATTTTATTTCAATCCTTCAAATCAAATTAAAATATGAGACACTGATGCAGCTCATCGCTAAGGTTAAAGTTTTTAAAAAGTAGGACAAACTACAAAAATTTAGAAGTTAAAAAATATATTGGAATCTTATAATAAGTCTAGAACAGGAAGAATGATTAATGATTTTGTTCCTTGCCATCAAGTGAAATGTAAAAGCCCTTGCATCATCACCAAGACAAAGACAGCTGGACAGTGGAGAGCTACAGTGCTAACCTTGGCTAGGAAAGATGCAGATATCGGTTCAGTATATTGTAATTTCATTGAATGAATTTCAATGTGGTCCCAACTTACAAGATTCCCCACTGCACCCAATATGTCATCATTTGAACAAACTTGAATCTGTAGAAGCTTTCATATTACTTTGACTCTGAATTACAGCTATAACCTTAAATACTGTATATACTTCTAAGTGTGATTAATTTGCTTATACTCTCTAGCTGTTTATAAGCTGTCTAGATTTAATCATTTATAGATTCTCCTTGAGAGTATACTTCACTGACTGAATACAAACTGTCAAGCTTGTGTGTTTGTTATCCCCTCACAACAGAATATAGAAAAGCACTTGTATGTGTGTTTATAAAGTTTGTCAGTGTATGTTGGTTTGTCTTTGATGTACGTGTGAAATAAAAGTGACATAGTTTGCATCAGGATATTTTGATGTTGATCACTGCTCTTGTGATTTATATGCTCTATGCGAGGGGGATGATCCTGCGGTGCCCTTGCTTTTCTTTTTAATATTTCTACTCTTGTGTTTTCTATGATAATTAGATTTTAGTATTTTTCATTTATACACATCAGATTTCCATTTTCTTCAATTCTAAATCAGAATGATTTGATCGGTTGATAGGATATCTATAAGCACATAATTTCAGTTTTACCTCAACCAAAGGTATAGAGGAAATTCGGATTGGAAAAAAATCACTGTTATACAGTATAGTGTAAAGTCAGATGTAGGTCTGCAAAATGGATAATCAACATCACAGGGACTTGAGACAATCTTAGCAAAGTCGGGGACCGTATATACTATATAATATAGTCCCTATAATATAACGTTACCAGATTAGTCCCTGTGGCTGTAGGGACACTTGGCACTGGGCGATTTTATTAGGCCTTCATTTGCTTATATAAGTGAAAGTGAAATAAGAAGACATCAATTAAATAGGTCTATGACACATATATAAATTATGTTGCTTCCATGGTTTCTGACCAGACGTTAAAATACACAAATACTTACCATGAAAAATCTAGCTTCGTCTGACGCGTCTTGCAGCTTAGCAGCATCCACTAAAACGTATTGCAGTCCCGCAGTTAAAAAAAAAACAGATCTTATAATTTGCTATATATTTTCTAAAATATTGATAAAAATATTAATTTGTTATAACATAATATTAATTTGTTAAAACAAATTATCAATTTGTTAAAACAAATAAGTAATGTGTTTAAACAAATTATCAATTTGTTAAAACAGATTATCAATTTGTTAAAACAAATTAGTAATTTGTTATAACAAATTATCAATTTGTTATAACAAATTATCAATTCGTTTAAACAAATTATCAATTTGTTATAACAAATTATCAATTTGTTATAACAAATTATCAATTTGTTATAACAAATTATCAATTTGTTATAACAAATTATCAATTTGTTATAACAAATTATCAATTTGTTATAACAAATTATCAATTTGTTATAACAAATTATAAATTTGTTTAAACAAATTATCAATTTGTTTAAACAGATTATCAATTTGTTTAAACAGATTATCAATTTGTTTTAACAGATTATCAATTTGTTTTAACAAATTATCAATTTGTTATAACAAATTATCAATTTGTTATAACAAATTATCAATTTGTTATAACAAATTATCAATTTGTTTAAACAAATTATTAATTTGTTATTACAAATTATAAATTTGTTATAACAAATTAGTAATTTGTTATAACAAATTATCAATTTGTTTAAACAGATTATCAATTTGTTTAAACAGATTATCAATTTGTTTTAACGAATTATCAATTTGTTATAACAAATTATCAATTTGTTTAAACAAATTTGTTATAACAAATTATCAATTTGTTTAAACAGATTATCAATTTGTTTAAATAGATTATCAATTTGTTTAAACAAATTATCAATTTGTATAAACAAATTAGTAATTTGTCATAACAAATTATCAATTTGTTATAACAAATTACTAATTTGTTATAACAAATAATCAATTTGTTATAACAAATTATCAATTTGTTTAAACAAATTAATAATTTGTTTAAACAAATTAATAATTTGTTTAAACAAATTAATAATTTGTTTAAACAAATTAATAATTTGTTTAAACAAATTGTTGAATGCAAAGAGCTTAATTTTAAATTTTATATGAAATAACACATGTTAAATATCAATTTAAGATATTCTATTACAAAATTATTGACAAATAAGGGATTTTATAATTATCAAGAATAAATGTGATAGTATACTAATAACTAATTTAAGATATTTACGCATATGATGAACTTATTATTACTATTAAAATGGAAGACCGTGCTTCAATTTCTGAAAGTTAAATCTTCATAAAATGTAAAATTCATAATGGCCACACGCGAGTTCCTCTAAGATATTTTGCATAAAGGTGTATATGTAATATTTTTATGCATGCAAAGTTTGGAAAGGGTACTTGAGTGTGGCCACATTTAAATTACGAAATAACTGCCGTAAAATCGGCTTTTTTATGCAGTTTTTAACTCCACTGGTATATTTGTTGCTGCGCATGTGCTAAAGACATATGATAGACTTTGTGATTTCAAACTAAAATTTTGTCTAAAATTAAAGGAACATATTGATGGTTCGATGCTTTGCAGAAATTCTGACTGACAAATGAAATGAGGGGTGTACATTGGTAGCTTAAGAAGGTCTCTTGAAGGTTTTGAAATAGCTCTGACAGAGTTGGAAGAAGATGCCTAATGATATGAGCAACAGAAAACCAGCTTTGATTTCCATTATCAAGGATATGGATATAGGTGTTAAAGTCAAGATAGTCTTGCAAGGTGGTAGCTGTTGGTTCGGGGTCACTGTAGGTGTCGTAACAGTATTTCACTTGGGTTCACGTCAAATCATGGCTGACGCAAAATAATCCCGGAATCTTCCCTTCCGATTCGGGCATTTTGATGAGAGACTGAAGCTGAATATTTAATGAGATGAACCAGAAGTCTCTGTCGAGACTGTAGCTCTACTGGTTTATACTTAAAACAAAGGAAGAGAAAAGTAGCAGTTGGGACTTGAGACTTTAAATCAGCAATAAATAGAAAATTGATCCTTGCCACTCATCAAAATAAAAACCAATATACAGAATTATGTATCGTAGTGTAGTCTACTTGTGTGCCAAGTTATACTGAAATCGGACCAAAACTGCAGGAGGAGTAGCATTTTGAAAGAATTTCACAGAAATTTCTATTTTAAGTAACCACGGCAACACCGTTCATTGCAATAAAAAACAGATGCACAGAATTATGTATCTTAGTGTAGTCTACTTGTTTTATCAAGTTATATCAAAATCAGACCAAAACTAGGAGGAGTAGCATTTTGAAAGAATTTCACAGAAATTTCTATTTTTAGTAACCACGGCAACACCATTCATCGAAAGCAAAAACCGATGCACAGAATTATGTATCTTAGTGTAGTCTACTTGTGTGCCAAGTTATACTGAAATTGGACCAAAACTGTAGGAGGAGTAGAATTTTGAAAGAATTTCACAGAAATTTCTATTTTTAGTAACCACGGCAACACCGTTAATTGAAATCAAAAACCGATAAACAGAATTATGTATCTTAGTGTAGTCTACTTGTGTGCCTAGTTATATTGAAATCGGACCAAAACTGTAGGAGGAGTAGCATTTTGAAAAATTGTTTACAGACAGACAGACAGACGGACGGACGACGGTCGCATTACTATCGCATAAGCTCTTCTGGTCTCTGACCAGTAGAGCTAAAAACATGTAAACTTTTTGTATTGACCAGATTTGTTAAAATTTGGGGCGTGCTGATTTTTAAGTCACCTGAGTAACTCAGGTGACCTATTGCTATCCGTTTTCGTCTATCGTCGTGCGCCATGCGCAGTGCGTTAACATTTGAACATTTTCAGCTTCTTCTCTGAAACCACTGAATCAATTCCAACGAAATTTGGTATACAGCATATATGGGTGAAGGGGAACATAAATTGTGAATTTTATGGTCCCCGCCCCCCTGGGGCCTAAGGGGTGGTGCCAAAACCACTAAAATTATTGCAATCTTTAAAAATCTTCTTTACTTCTGGAAATCAAGCAGGCAAACTGTTGGCATGAATGTAATGAGCATTGAGTCCTCTACCAAAATTGTGAAATTCATGGCCCAGGGTCAGGGGTTCTAGAGCTAGGGCGGGGCTATATAGATTATATAGTGAAAATGCATTATTTCTTTAAACATCTTCTCTGCTCCTGGGTATTAAATATACGAATTAAGTACATAGTTATGATGAGCAAGAGTGCCTCTTCTGAAATTGTGATTTTTATGGTTCCCAGGGTCAGGGGTTCTGGTGTTAGGGCGGGGCTCCATTGATTATATAGTGAAAATGCTTTTATTCTTTGAGTGTCTTCTTCTCTGCTTCTGGGTATTAGTTAAACAAACTCAGTACATAGTTATGATGAGCAAGAGTGCCTCTTCCAAAATTGTGAATTTTATGGCCCCAAAGTCAGGGGTTCTGGTGTTAGGGCGGGGCTCTATTGATTATACGTGTATAGTGAAAATGCATTAATTCTTTGAAAATCTTCTCTGCATCTGGGTATTAAATAAACAAACTAAGTACATGGGTTTTATGCCAAGGATACAAGTATATATATTTATGAAGAAGAAAGGTGCATCTGGCAAAATGGTTATTTTTATGCCCCCCTCCCTGAGTCGGGGGGGGGGGGTTACATAGTCTGAAAATAAATTAATGCTGTGAAT